GTAGCATAAATCTATCCTAAGAGATGATCTATTTAAAAAATAGACATTAACTGTCATCTAGAAAAAATATATATTAAAGTCATTGTATTATTTAGTAACTATATCTCTGATATATTTTCATTTTTCAGTTAAAATTATTTTTCCTTTCTGGTATCAGGAATGAAACTTAGGGTATCCTGAATCCTAGGCAGATGCTCTAGTTACATCTCTAGCTTACTGATGTTTTTAATTCTAGTTTCTTAATGTTGCAAAAGAAAAAAAAAAACCCCAAAACTGTAGGCTATTGTTGTCAACTTTGGCTTCTATTTGTTTTATCAGTCAGAATAACTATCTTATAGAAACACTGGCATGATTTCTCAGAACATGCTGTATAGACAGAGAGAAATTGATTCTGACTCCATGATCTTTACTAGTCAGGCGATTCTAGCTGTGGAAAGAAGTTTTTGCATTTGTAAATTGTGAGTAATCTGGGAAATATCTGCACATCGAGAAACTAAGTAAAACAAAAGCTAGATGGGGCATGAGATAGCTTAGCACCTAAAGGTACCTACATTGTCACTTTATGGCACACATTCATGAGAATACATACACATACAAACAAACACATACATGCACACACTTAGACACACAAATGAATAAATCTTGCTTGAAAATTTTGATAGAGATAGAGAAGTTCTGTGGCATATTTTCTTTAAACCAATCAAGCCACATTTTCCCCGATGTTTCAACAAATCTCTGAGATATATTTAAAGATCTGTCTTAGAAGTAAATTTGTAAAAATGATAAAAGATCAGTGGGTTAGTCTTATGAAGTTAATGCTTTGGAAATAGACGAGTGTTTCTTTCTATAGATTCTAATCTTCTTTCTTTTAAAACACAAAACACTCACTTAAAGGACATAGTCAATAGAATTGTATTTCCAACCCCTTTTCTAAATATCCAGTGATTTCAGCGATTCATTAAAATAGTTTTGTTTCCTTAGGAAGAAACTTTCCACACAGGCACAATAAGCACTTGGCATTTTGTGGCTTAAGCCTTGGGGACTTAGTGGTATTTGGCTCCTGACCTGGAAGTCTTTCTCCTGTCAGACAAAATCCTTCCCCTGCACATTCCTGTTGAAGTTTGTTTCTGTGTGCCTGATGGCAGGCTCTGAGGTGATCACTCGGGTTTACACTGCCTAAGCCAACTTTCCTTCCCTTTTCTACCCTTCTTCTTTGTAAGTGGACATCAACTCTGGCTTCTAACTCCTTCATTGTTTCACCAAACTGGAATCTTATTACCTGGGGAAAGTGGCGTCTACTGTGTGATGGCACTGAAACACTTGTGTATTACCTATACCAACTTGTAGTGTGCGTGTGTTATACAAATGTGCATGTGTATGTATGTTAGCATGACTGTTGATATCCATGTGTGTAAGTGGGTGTTTGCATATATGTGCAAGTGAATGTGGAGGCCAGATGTTGAATTTGCATGTCTTCCTCCATTTTCCCCTCACCTAAATGGTGAGGTAGGAGCTATTGCATGAACCAGGGCTCATGTATTTGGTGTCTGGTAGCCCTAGGCCAGCCAGCTTGCTCCATAATCTTCTGTTACTGCCTCCCTGGTGCTGGGATTATAGGCGGGTTACTAAGCCTATCCATCTTTTACATGGGTACTGGGAATCTGAATGCAGCTCTTCAGGCTTGCTTGGCAAATGTTTACTCACCGAACCATCTCTCTAGCCACAACTCATAACAATTCTTCACAGTCTTGTAAGAAAAGTACAGATACTTAATAGATATTTGGATATATTCTAGGAACTGACTGCATTTTGAAAAATATACAAACTGGGTGACATTTTGATCTTGATTCTGCATATCTATGTTCTGACCCTTTGAGATTTCATCTCAACCTTAAGATTTATTTATACGTCCCCCCCCAAAAAAAAACATGTATCACTAGGAGAAATGGCATACAAGAATAAAGACTAAGTGCAAATCGGATATAGGTAATGTGCATGTGAGGGCTATGTTTTAAGAAAAGGAATAAGGAATTGGTGTCAGAAAGTGGTTGGTGTTCAAGTCGGAGAGGCTGGGTGCTGTGACGGTAGATATAAGCTGCATAATGTTTTAGTGATGTGTTTCTGTTCCCTTCCTGCTGTCTCTTTTATTAAAGCACTTATGCACACTCAAGCTTGGTAGTTTTGTTAACCATCAGACCATTTGGACATTTTGAAACTTTTGCTTTAACCAGGGATATCTTGAGGCTAAATATATGATGAAAATGTCTGAGTAGTTTCTCTGCAGAGTATGAAAATTTGAGCAAAATATGGAGAGGAAGTCCAAGTAGAATAATAAACATTTGTGTGCCCTGTTGTTGCTAGACTGTAAGCTCACTTTTGAGTGAGCTACAAGTATCCACAGTGTCAAAAGGGGATATTTTGTCATGCATGGTTATATAAGTAGAGACATGTTGTTTATGTATGAAATATAAAAATGGAGAGAATGGATTAATGAATGTACCAATAAAAGAATGGTTTTGACAAATTAGACCATTGAAGGTTCTTTTGACATAAGACTTAGTTTATTTCTTACTGCATGGCCTATGGATAAGTACTGGATTTTAAATATTAATTTATTTGTAGTTAGCCATTCCCTAGCTGGTAGAAAAAGCTCCCCTGAATTATGCAGCATTTACAGAGTTCTGCAACCTTAGATTGAAAAGCTATAGTTTAAATCCAGCTGCTAGCAGTTGATCTGGACATGCTTTCTGATTACTATCACTTACCACAAAGCATTGTTTTGTTTATGTCATTTCATAGTTTTCCAATATTTTGCTTGAATTTAATTTAATTCATTTAAGAGGTGATTGCTGGTAAACTAGCAGTGAAGCAATTCCTTTCCTTTACTTGGATGGTTAACATAATTAAAAAAAAAAAGACATGGGAGAGGTGTGTGCAAAGCACACACTCACAAACTGAGACTGTGAAGTACACTGACAGGAGAAGTTGGTGAGCTCCGTGGAGGACAGTGAAATCTCTGAGCTGAGAAGCTGCTCTGTGCATCAGTTTTCATTTCCTTTCAAAGTGGTCTTCCAAACAAGCCAGCCTAGCCAGGACAGAGTTAGGCGTAGCTACCACCATGAAGGTTTTCAGTAAATGTGCATACCTCCAGAAAATAGCACTGTGATTTGATCGGATAAATCATAGCATTTGCTTAATTTTATAATAAAATGTGAAACTAGAAGTCATTTAACTAAATTTCTGCATTTGCATAACCTATCGTAATGTTTTACTTTTGAAGTCATATTTGAACAAACCAGATTATAAGGAATATAACCAGACAGCATTACAGCTACTTATTCATTAATAAGACATATGTATTCACATGGAATAAATTATCTACTCATAGGAAAAGACAAACCACACTGATGTGAATTTTAAATCAAAATGCTACGTATATCTGTAATTAGTATTTCCCAAATAATGATTAGCCCCTCATTATATACCCATTTCAGAAACCACCTGGAACAAGAGCAATATATTTGTTGTTAGAAGAAAATGATTGAATAATTGAAGATGCACTTACTATTGGTGGTTATTGGTTTCCAAACTAGTGATTACATGAGAAACATAAAATCTGTTACATGTTACCAACACATGCAAAACTACTGAGGGTTCTGGGATTATCTGCTTTGGCTATTCATGCTCATTTTGCCAATATGCATAAATTCCCCAGAAATAAGAAGAATGATAGGATAAGGTATTGACTTTTGCCATAGGCTGTGCATATGAAATGTTTATGTGGCCACCAGGAGTGTGTACTTAGGCATCGTTTACAGTGAAGTTGTTGGTAATTGTTAGATCATCCACGTGCAGTGAAAATGTTAGGAAAGAATGACAGGCAGGTGTGAGAAGAATAACAACTATCTACCAAATTTCCATTTAGAAGAACAATATTGATCATAACTACTTGGGGACCTTTTTGCTATAGTAGATATTGTTTCCCTCCCTACAAATATGGTTGTCACGTATATCTACCGCTGCTTACTTTATTATGCGTTGTCTTTGTCAATTATATAATTTATGACTGTTGGCAGCTTACTTAACTTCTCTGTTCCTTACTTTCTTTAAGATGCACATAGCAACACTAACCATGTAATAGGAATGTAAAAATCAACTCAGGTCATATATGTGAGGTTTTAGGAAAGGTTCTTGGATAATATATATTAATGATTATACTGTAGGCGTGACCAAATGTTGAAATATTCAAAGATATCAAACTCTGCTCCTTTTTATTTGAAGAGTTAATTCTTGCAAGTATTTTGTTTTATTTTCAGTAAGCCACAATAAACTCTCCCCCTATGATAATAGTGGTGAGTGGAACATATGAAAAACATGGTCCGTGTAAAATGAATCTTCACACAGACTTACTCCGTCATTTCAGTTTGATTTCTGAGAAATGAGTTCAGTCCATCTGCCAAATCCTTTTATAAGATGGTGCATTCCTGTTTTGATTTTAGTTTATTTCATTTATGAAAAGATTTTTTTTCTTCTCCACCCTGTCCTGGACAGTTCGTTCTCACGTCTTCTCCACTGCCCTAAAGTAGAATGTTACTGTACATTAAATCTTTAAATGTAAATAAAAATTGAGCATTAAAACGTCTGGAAGGAATCTGTCACTGTTTTTTTAAAGTCATTCATTTATTATAGCTGAGTTTGAAACAAAAGCAAAAGCAAAAAATAAAAATAAAAAAGGAAAAAGCTGCCTGACATGCTGAATTCATACAATTTGATAATAATCCCCTTTCTTTGCCAAATTTGGAATAACAGACTTTTTCTTAGTGTGGGAGGGAGGCAACTGGTTTGGGGAGGGGGAAAGATGGAATACAGCAGATGACAGAGAATCAGTTTGCAAACATATGTTAATATTTAGATTCTTTTTTAAAAGTGAAAAGTTAACTAGTTAACGCTTTTCCACAGACTGTCTTTGATACTATGTTTTGTTTATTCTGTCCCAGAAGAAGTTAGCGGTATACAGCAAGATGCAGGACTCTCTGGAAGTCACGCTTCCCAGCAAACAAGAGGAGGATGAGGAGGAGGAGGATGAGGATGAGGAGGAGGAGAAAGACCAGCCTGCCGAGATGGAGTACCTTAACTCTCGCTGTGTCCTTTTCACTTATTTCCAGGGAGACATTGGGTCAGTAGTGGATGAACACTTCTCAAGAGCTTTGGGCCAAGCCAGCACCTTGCATCCAGAATCTGCCATTTCAAAAAGCAAGATGGGGCTAACCCCCTTATGGCGAGGTAAGAATTCAAGAGCAGATGCCCTTCGGAGCAAGCTGTTTCGCAACTGCCTCTACCAGGCTCCAGCTGGAGGCTTGCCCCTGGAGAACGGATATCCACTTGCTTTTTAATTTTTAAGGACAGCAAGGAATTTCTTTCCGACAAACAGCTGGATCGGTTTTGTCACATGTGGAATGCAGGGTTGGAAAGGATGCACTCACACCCCTTAAATTCCTCATGGAAAAAGCAGTGATACAAGTGGCCCCAGTTTATAGTGGCCAGACAGAGCTCGAAGCTCCTTTCAGAAAGCTGCTGTGGCACAGTGTGGGGCTCTCTAAATAATAGGCGTGCCCGAAAACAGCTCTAAAAAAAAAACGTATTGTTGCTCACTCCACTAGGTGTTGTGTGGTGGCATTTCTGAATTCTGATTCGGACCCAGGAACACAGGCTTTGAAAGCTGCCTGTGTTCTCTGTGTGGCTTTGTTTTCACTGACTTGTGAACCATTTACAGGTTATGGTCCTCTCGGCTAGTATTTTGATGACTGAAGCCATTGTTTTACCTCAGTAAACAAAAAGTTTCAGACTGACTGGACTCTTCTTTATTTTCTTCTTGGAGGCAAGCACAGTAATCTGCTTGCTTCCATGTTCTAGTTTTAAAGTCAGTGGGAGAGTGACGTGTTAGAACGGTGATTGTCAAGGTTGGAGAGGAAAAGTAGTGTACACTCTGAAGACAGTTTCACAGAAATGTGTTAGATACAAATATTTTGTTCCAAACTCACCTGGCTCCAAGAAGTGTCTAGGAAAATGGTTGTAAACTGTGGGCCTCGCAAGGGAACCTTTTAGAAAGCAATTTTCTGGCCCCTCTCCCAAGCCCTGAGGAATGGGAAACTGATGTGTTTACCCAGGCCTGGCAGGGGATTAGAAGCAGGCTCAAGTTTGGGAATCAGTGACCTGGTGTCCTGGTTTGTGAGGACTTTAGAGTATGAATGTCTGCAGGAAGGTTGAGGGAAACACAGCAACAACTGTCTTGAGTAGTACCTGTGACGGAAGACCTTCCATGTCATTGTCCCAGGAATGGCTCTGTTGCTGCAGGAGAGGATCTCAGCTGGCAGCATGGTCCTTATCTACAGACACACGGTTCCTCTTCCTCCCCACACTTCATTTTGTCATTCTCTCCCTTCGGCCTTCCTTCCTCCTGTCCCTCATTCTTCTATTTTCTCTTTCTGTTTCTTTCCCTCCTTTCCTTTTTCTTCCTTATTTCTCTTCCTTTTTAGCAAACGTATTCAATACGAAGCAGGCATTGTAAGGGGCAATAGAATATGAACTGAAATAACGGAGGCTTGCTAGAGGTCACCCACATGACTCCTGCTTAATTGACAAGTATGTGCTGGGAATTTTGTATATGAACAGAGAGCCCTTGAGAGTTCACAATGCTCTCAGGAGGAGCCAACATCCTGTTTGATAGCTCAGGAGAAATTATGGGAATTCTTTGAAGAAAAGTTTTGTGACTCAGATGGTTTTAGGTAAACAATTTGATGTACCAATAATCACATCCGTATAATTAGTTCTGGGAGAGTAATGAAGCAGTGGGTCCTTCTTTCAGTGACTGGCATTTGTAATCCTGGGATGATCTTGTCTGGAAAGGAGAAAGGATACCAAATTACCTGAAGCGTAAGGTCACCTATAGTGACTAAGCCAGAAGAATTTAGTGTGTGTGTAACGACTCTAAAACAATTCAACTGTTCTATGTAGAAATTAGAACAATAAGAGGAAAACTTGGATTCACTCTCTGATTTTTTTTAATTGAGACAGGGTTTCTCTGTAGCTTTGGAGCCTGTCTTGGAACTAGCTCTTGTAGACCAGGCTAACCTTGAACTCACAGAGATCCACCTACCTCTGTCTCCCAAGTGCTGAGATTAAAGGCCTGTACCACCCCCGCCTGACTAGCTGTCTGAATTTTAAACAGAATGCAAGAATGGTAGCCATGTTTTAATAGTTATTGGTAACTTTGCCTTGATATCATCTTAGATTTACCTTCCCATATGTATGCTGACTTATTAGTTGATTTTGCCACAGGTATTTATTAAGCTTCTACTATGTATTATGCAATTTTCAAGGTACTGAGCTCTGTACTCATGGAGTGACTATTTATTTATTAAAAATTTCCACCTCCTCCCATCCTCCCATTTCCCTCCCACTTCTCCCACTCCCCCCCCCCCCCTCGCTCTCAGGTCCTAAGAGAAGTCAGGATGCCCTGTCCTGTGGGAAGTCCAAGCCTCCCCGCCCCCATTCAGGTCTAGGAAGGGGAGCATCCGAACAGACTAGGCTTCCAAAAAGCCAGTACATGCAGTAGAATCAAAATTCTGTGTCATTATCATTGGCTTCTCAGTCCGTCCTCTTTGTCAGCCACATTCAGAATGTCAGGTTTGATCACATGCTCATTCAGACCCAGTCCAGCTGGCCTTGGTGAGCTCCCCTTAGATCAGTCACACCATCTCCGTGGGTGGACGCACCCCTCACGGTCCTGACTTCCTTGCTCATGTTCTCCCTCCTTCTGCTCTTCATCTGGGCCTTGAGAGCTCAGTCCAGTGGTCCAATGTGAATTTCTGTGTCCATCTCCATCCATTGCCAGATGAAGGTTCTATGGTGATATGCAAGATATTCATCAGTGTGGCTATGAGGGACTGTTTTAATAGCAGAGACAAGTAAAAAACAAGGATATAAAGAGTGACATTTAAGGTGTTACTTTACTGAAAGTGATAATGAACGCCTTCTCAAACATAATTACATTTGAACATAGACCTGAAGGAAATGAGGGAATTCCTCATGTGACGATTTCTGGGAAAAAAAAATGACTTACACAGAAGGAATATCCAAGCGCAACATCCCTAAGGATGAGTGGAGCTTAGAATGCTCAATGAGAAGGTAGCATGCTTATGTATGTGGAATAGTATGCCCACCCAATTTCTTATGTCTTTCTGTCTCTCCTCCCACCAAGTCTACAAATAGTGTGTCTCACATCAATTCCCTCAAAACTCAAGGTGACATTTTTCTATATGAATACTCTAAGATAAACATAATTCAGTGATTAAAGGGTGGCATTATATGAATGAAGTTCATAATACATATCAAATATTTAAAACATCTTCACAGAAGCATCTTTTATTAATCAGTCATATGAAGTTTTTGTTACAGTTTCTGTCATTCCCTTTTTCATTCTTGCCTCCCTCCCTCCCTCCCTCCTTTCCTTTCTTCCCTTTTTTCTACCTTCCTTTCTTCATCTGTATGCTATATGTTTCTCTGACAAGCATGCCCATGTGTCTGCTGGTTCATGAGCCTATGTACCTGCATGTGGAGGTTAGAAGTAGATGATTTTGGATTTTCTGATTTGATAGATCAAATCAAGTTCTGCCTTATTCGTTTGTGACAAGACTACTTACTGTCTAAAACTGGAGCTGGGCTGGCAGGCAGCAAGTCCAGCAGTCTTTCTGTCTGCACTACAATGCTAGGTTATAGGTGTCCATATTGATTGCAGTTTAGTTATTTAAAATTAAGGCACAGGATCAAGTAATTTTTGATATAAGGTCAGACAAAAGGCATTGTTTACTTTCCATTTGTGAACTGAGTAGTTCCATTGTTGCTTCTAGTTGCAAATTTATTTTCAAATCAACCCACAGTACTTGATTAAGATTCATGGGAAACCCATAAAATGTTATTAAAGAAGAGATCTTCTTAAAGAGGAGGTATAATGAATGATATTCACATATTCTATAAAGAGAAATAGTCATAATATTAATATTATTGATAAAACTACACAGGATTAGACAATTCAATCTTTGGACTCTGGTCATTGTCTTATTCCTTGATGTTTGCAAAGTGGTATTGGAGCAATGATTTAAAATCTTTGTGTGACCAGCTTGTCCAACAATAGCATATTCTCACTACTACTCCTATTTAAGGTTATTAGAAAAACATGTTGAAGAGTATATAAATGATTTCATGCAGAGCTTGAACCAACAGAATCACCAAGGCAGATGCTTCTCTTTTCCGTAACTATTTCCACTTACTTGTGGATGGAAAACTGATGTTGAGTCTTTACCTAGAAACCTTGTTTTCTGGAAGCTCATATTTTTAGCATGAAGCAGTGTCTTCCAGATAGTAGGGACTGGAGACTATTGATAATGTTAATGGAGTCGTTAGGGAGTTTTGAAAGAAGCTGCTGGCCAATCGACCCACATCAAGCACTCTGACTAATAACAGTTATTCCAGTTCTATTTACATGCTACATATGAACTTACAACTGAGTTATGTTTGAACAATATAGTTCCATAATAAATTTTTAGACAAAGAGGGTGTACTTGCTAAGAGAAGAATAAGCATAATGAAATTCATATCTTCTTGATAGGGCTAGAAAATGGTTTTGGACAGGTGCATCTGTTAGAAAAAACAGTTAAGGGGAAGAATGCTTTGCACCTTGTTCTGGCACAATATATTGTGAATTATATCACACCTCACTTTTCATTTCAGTTAAGAACCAAACAAAACTGATTATCCACTTATTCCCATCTAGCATCTAGATTGAGACACCAGTTCCAGATACACGCATGCTTTACTTACAGAAAATGTGTGGGTCAGTGTGTGTGTGACTGCGTGGGACTTGCTCTCTGTGTGTTTGTGTGTAAGGAAGAGCAATGGTCAGGTAAGATGGAACATAGTAGGCCTCTGAATTCAAAGCCTGCGTCTCTGGCACTTATTGCCATTTATTCTTCTTGCATCTTCGAAATAAATGTATCTGTCAGCTTGGGTTTGCTTGGAAACTCAGCCATGTGGGAGCGACCTCTCAGAATGAATAGTTCAGGCTAAGCAGACCCAAGGAGAAAGGCAAGGAAGGGCTATATCCTAAGGGAATAAAGGTTCTGAGCAGACTCTCTAGGAGGCCCTCCAGGCTGCTGTTTCCAGGAAGTTAGAAAAGGCAGCGAGAGGAAAATGAGGCGTGAATCACCTTATGATAGTGCCCCAAGCGTTAGATCTCATTGCAGTCATGAGGTGATTTTGAGCAATGCTGCAGCCAAGTACCTGGAGGACAATCTTTGGATGCCATGGCAATGCTTAATTCCTGGATAACAGAGAAGTTCAAAGCACATTTCCTTCCTTTTCGGACTTGACAACTGGTTTTTATAGGATTTGGAAGAACCAGGGAATGGGCCTTCAAAAGTATCAAGAACCATTTTTGTTAAGCATTGAGTTTAAATAGTATTCTTTTTTTTTTTTCCTTTTTCTTCCTCTTCCTCCTCCTCTTCCTTTCTGAGGTAGGGGCTTGCTCCTCTGTCTGCCTTATCTGGTAGAGATTCCCAGCCCAGATTGCCAGTGAACTTGCACACTCCTTCAGGCTCGTTCAGACTCTACTTGAGGGCTAAATCACAGGCATGTGTCCCGATGCTCTAAATAGTTTTTTTCTTTATTGTGAATTTTAAAAGAAAATGTTATGTTGGACGCTAATACTTTTCATCTGTATTTACTCTCAGAATGAGTCAGCAGGAGATTACTAAAGATGACTTACGATAGCATCTCTTTGTCTTATTTTCGTTAGTATTATCATTATTATCTAAAAAATTAAAATTTGAACTGTTTTACAGTTTTTGTTCTTGTTTCTTTTTTTCTTTTTTCTTTTCTTTCTTTCTTCACTCTCTCTCTCTCTCTCTCTCTCTCTCTCTGTCCCTCTCTTTCTTTTTGTGTGTGAAGAGTTGCTATAAAAAGTACCCCAGTACTATATAAAATTTTAAAAGGAATGCTTAGCCCCTATGATCTATGTTCAACTCTTCTGTTTGTCTTTGAAACATTTTTTTTCCTAAAAGTCAGTTGGTGAGATTACTGTTACATTTTGAAAGACGATATTGGGCAACATATCAATTTTGCCTTATCTTTCGTTTATAGAAACAAATGTGTGTGTGTTCCTAAAAGTGAACTCAATAAAAATCACATTTAGGGTTTTTTGTTGTTGTTATTTTTATGTATGAGACTATCAGTGCTGGCACCACCTGAATGCCAATATTGCATGAATGTTGAATAATGGTGCTCCAGAATCCCAATTGAGTCTTAATATTATGCAGTTTTGAATCATTTTCACTAACCTTAAAGGTAGCATTGCATGGAAACAGCTCCTGCAGCTTTTCATCTGCTTTCTTATACACCAAATGTGGCTGTGATTAAGTACTTGCAAAGAGTCACATAATGAAAAAAATTTACATACATATGAAATAAGCAGGCTGGTTCTCCAGCGCAGAGCACAGTGTAGCATCTGTTTCTTCGTGTCACTTTTTTTTAAAGAAGCAAGATACCAAATAGTGATCCCGAAGCTTGGATTTCTTCATGTACATATATTCCGTTCAATATTGTTTCACTTACTTGTAAAATGCTGCAGTGTTTGCTGAAAAGGGCTGCATAGATCCCTACAAACTTTATATTAATCTCAGGAGACCCTATATAGACTGGGAAAATATTAAATTGCTTTTAATTTTATTTTTCGTTGAGGAATTTTAAAGAGCAATTCAATTTTTATGGAGTGACTTTAAAAAAAGATTTCATCTTTCAGTGATACTATGTTCACTCATCACACTGTAGTGCTTCATAAATAGGACAATAATACTTTTGTAAGCGATATGTTCATTATGAGAATTTGTGTGTGCATATATACAGTGTTTAATCGACCATAAAAATAAGAATGGTTCCATCTTGGTAAGCATCAAGAAAAAGATGGATATCCAGATAAGTGTAATACTATTTCTGTACTTTGGACAGTTTCCACAAGAGGTTCAATAAGAGGAATTTTATGAATCAGAGATTGTTAGCTTTCATATCCAGGTTCTGGTTGTATAAATTATGAGCAGATAGAAACTACGAGATACAAATTATGAGCAGAATGGTACCATGGGAGGTGTGTCAGTAAAGAGGAAGATTTGTGGTTGGCAAGCTGCCCTATAGTGCCCATAAGGCTGATTTATAAGTGCTGTCTTTTAATCAGTGGTGACTGTCACGAAACAGTCATTTATTGAAGAGCTTACTGGGAGTGACTGAAGGCTTCAGCAACCATTTCTGTCCTTCCTGCCTGGAGAGCATCATTTCACAGGTTTCTTCAAGGGTTCTGATTTCCATAGCAAAGCTGAGAAAGTGTGGGTTGCTTGCCACAGGATGAGGGGGTGACTCATGGCAACACTGGTGCAGATCTGAAGGCAAGAGAATAGATGTTCTTGTCTTAATAATACCAAATCATTAGGGAACTTAGAGAAGATGCCAAATATGACAGAGATGCACTGATTTGCCTAACCTCATGATACATGTTATAGTTTATTCAAATTTTTATACTGAGGCAATAAAAATGTGCTCATATTCCGAAGATGTAAGAAATGATAAGCATGTTAGATTGAATATTTCTAACAATGAGCACCTCTTAGGGTATCCTTTGTTCAATGGGAAAGTCTAGATTTTTTATGTTGAAGCTGGCATAAAAATATCAATAATGCATATGCATAAGTAGTGCCGATTGCAACCATATGTCCAACTTTAGCAGAAATAATCAATAGAACAGACAGAATGAAAAAATATTGAGCAAGATAATTGAAAGAGTATGAATTGAAATGCTTTATTATGTTTAATAGAAAAAAGTGACAAAGAGATCAAGAAGTCCACTTATGGTTATGAGAAAAGAAATGTATGTAATGAAAGGGAAGATTCACAGGGCAGAGCTCCCAGGCTCCCTGCGAGGCCTCTTATAACAAAGTCCCTTTCAATCCTCTGATCAAGAAGCCAACCCTCTTCTGAGACCTTTGTATCTCCATTCTCCCTCCCATCTCTCTCTTTCACCAAATTTTGCTTATTGAATTTTATCCATTAAATGCTACTGATGCTGGTGATATTGTTGTGTTTGGTGTACCTGTGTAGACTCTGTACTATGTTAGTATTTCGCCTGTGAGACCATCAGTCTAGAACTCCATCTCATCCCTTCATAAGCCTAATTCTTATTCAGCCATTCTAATTCGACATGGTTCTCACTTTTCCTGCTCATCTTGTGGGCTTGCTCTCAAAAACATTTGCAGGTCTTCTTCCCTTGTGCACCCAGTGACGTGATAAACAGTGACAGTGGTCTATACGTTTCTGACTTTCTTTAGTCTAGTCCATGTATGTCACCTGTAAACATTAAGATGAGAGAGACAGTGAATTGAGGGAATTGATGGAGGAGGATGCTGCTTCTTCCTTCCTTGCCTGCAAGTGTGAGCTTTAGTTTCCCCGAAGTTTCTAATATGACCCGAAAAGTATAGCTCAACCTGAGCCATGCTGGTTATCAATTCTAGAGAATCTCCAAATCCAGGTAACCAGGTTGCAGTCATAATTGTTCCTGCTAGTGGTCATTGTGAAGTCTACCATTTTTTGACTATTGAAGCAGGGTATCTGGTTTTGCAGGGTAGGCTTGTGCTTGCCAACACCTTAGACTTTTACCCTGTCTCCATTTTCTTACTGGAGCGGAGTGAGAATTCCATGAGCTCACAAGCAGCCTTCAGTCTGGTGTTGGACATCTGGCTACTCTCGTTAAATGTTAACCATTGTTATTTCCAAGACCACAGCATTCCTAGGTTTCCACAGAAGTTAAAAAGATAAAATTATTCTTTTAAATGATCAATGATTTGGTGGGAACAATTACATGTTATCTTGTTACCATTTCTTAATTTTGTCATTGAAATGTATGGTTAAATAAAAAATTGTGTTGGCGCATAAAAGATATGAGTGCAACTATTTCCAGTCTACACAAACACACATATCAATGGCACAAATATTCTTCACCAGAGAAATATATAGAATGCTATTTAGAACTAAGAGCCAAACGGTTCCAACAGGAAATGAAGCCTTTCCAGTCATTACATTGAAGCAAAAACCTCGTCTCAAGTTGAGATAGAGAAAGCCTCACAAAAGCAAATGCAGGGGGGCGCATTTTGAATCTTGCCTTATTGCCGGGACTTGGTACCCAAGAGGCTCAGCCCGTATCAGCTCATTCTTCTTTGTAGACAGAAAACATGCATAGTAATCCTCTTGCTTGTAAAACATTACTGAACAAGCAAAAACAAATATACAGCAGAACTGTATCTTATGTAAATAACGTGTTTTCTGTCTTCTCAGACAGCTCAGCTCTCTCAAGCCAGCGGAGTAATTTCCCAACTTCCTTTTGGACCAGCTCTTACCAGCCCCCACCTGCACCCTGTTTGGGGGGAGTTCATCCTGACTTCCAAGTCACTGCACCCCATGGCACCTTTACAACAGCAGACCCCAACTCTTGGCCAGGACATGGTCTGCATCAGACTGGCCCTGCCCCTCCCCCTACTGCATCCGAGTCCTGGCACTATCCTCTGGCATCTCAGGTGAGCCCGTCCTACAGCCACATGCATGACATGTACATGCGGCATCACCATCCTCACGCCCACATGCATCACCGCCACCACCATCACCACCACCACCCAGCTGCTGGTTCTGCCCTGGATCCCGCGTATGGGCCCCTGCTAATGCCATCAGTGCGTACTGCCAGGATTCCTGCTCCCCAGTGTGACATCACCAAGACAGATCCGACTACAGTCACCACTGCTACCTCAGCATGGGCCGGAGCCTTTCATGGGACAGTGGACATCATGCCAAGTGTGAGCTTTGATGCAGGTGAGTGAACAGATCTCCTTCGTTCTAGAAAAAGAAGGGAAAGTTTAGACAAAGGTTTTGGAAAATAGTTTTTGCAAAGTTTTCTCTTGAAGCTAATATGCTTGGAGAACAGAGGCATTTTGCAATAATCCCCGCATTCCTGTGGAAAGTAGAATGAAAGTCTTCTAAGAAAGGTCTCAGCATGTTTCTCGCATCTCCTATCAGGGGAGTCTGTTACTTTGAACGGGATTTCTCATACCTTATGTTTACAAATAACTCAACCCTTCTTTAAATCTCCCATGACTCTGCACTCTGTAGCATGTGTTCTGCCTGCCAGATTTCAGAGGTAGTGGTATGCCTCAGTTATGCACTGTGAAACAGATTGTCTTTTGGAATGTGGTCTACAGTCCAGACTTAAATAAATAGGGACCATATTTTAAGAGTAGACTTTTCTTTTTTCTCTTCCTTCTTTGCTCTTTGTTTTCTTTCTCCTTCCTTCCTGTTGTTATTCTCTCTGATTTAAGTAACACATGACTTCAATGAGTACTGTAAATTTATATTCAAAATGCTTAGAAATAGTAATGAAAATATTTCTTTATAGAACACTTGTCTCTGGAGTCCGCTAGCCGTGGAGATCATTGTTGTAGCTTTCTGGTTTTCATTGTCCTGTCCTCCTCAACCCTTTTTCATTTCCTGCTGAGTCTATGGTGAGGACTGCGTTTTCTCTCCTGGTAAAGAGTGTTCTGTGGTGCTAAGCATTGCAGGCCAGCCTTTGTCACAGAAGACAGATGCTTATGCTTTTCAGTGTCTGGGGAAAGATATTGTTGGATCCTCAACATATTTGTGGCCACATTGAGCTGTGTGTCAGTTGGAAGCTTGCTCTGTTTCACGTCTTTGGCCTCTGTGGGGTCACACTAACAGTACTCCTAACAGGCAGGGGATGACTCTTCCTTCTGTATATTTTGTCAATAAAGAGAAAATGGGCATGATTTCTTGTTGCTTTCTGTTTCAAATTCTCTGTTTACTTTTGTACTTGTGAAGTTGGGAATTAGTCTGGTGCACACATTTTTTCCCCCTCAGAATGGTAGACTGAAAATGTCTCATCAAGATGAAATGCCATGCTTGGTGCTTTTAGAAGCAGACAAGAGAAAGGTTTTGTTCACTAGGATATCTTGAGAAGATCACTTTGGTTTATTAACCCATGATTTAATTTCATTTATTAATCATTAACTGTATGCTATTAGCATGTTTTCTTTGTATATGTATGCTGACATATTAGCACATTTATATATTTATTTGAATTTTATCATTATGTAATATATATGATAGCTTTCTCACGCTGCTATGTAGTGTTTTAAATTTCCCAAACAGATGTTTATATTTGATCCAAGAGAATTCTGAGCTATAAGTTCTATGATTCCCTATGCAGTAGTCAGAGTAACAGTGCTGTAAGCAAGCAAAGTGATAAATGATGTTGTAATGATTAGTAGTTTGGAAGGGAAGCTGTCCTTATTGGATGTATGAAAGGGTTCTCATGGTCAGTGTGAGCTTAGTAATTAGATAGTAAAGAAGATCCATCTGTAGTCTATGTTTTCATCCAACTGGAAAAACAAAGCAACTCAATAGAGTAAGATAAAGTATTGGCATGTTCATTTGAGTTCTAATCATCTGATTAGAACACTTTACACAAACGGACTTTTGATTTTCTCAAGCTAAATTTATATCAACACCAGGAGAAATCTGGACATCAGAGAATAGTCATCGCTATCACATTTCAGAGTGTCATGACTATGAAAAGAACTGATTTTTGCTTATCGTTTCCTCTGAAAGGAATGACTTAAGGTACAACATGGCCTTTTTACCCTGGAAAGAGCAGCAGAAGGAGGAGCCAGCACCTCTGGCCTAAGCCAATGATGAGAGATGTTACGTCATCTATAACCATTTCCTACTACAAAATTCAGACATAATATCAAATGCCACATTCAAATTCAAACTGGAAAAGCATGGCAGGGGTCAATTTTTACAGGAAACAGCCTTTGAGTCAGTTTTTGGCCTAATGTTCTAGGGGATCATATCTTTGGTGTGAGAAAAATCCTTGAGTCCAAGGGGTTGGCTTTTTATATTTATACAATTTACATTACAGTTCCTGGCTGTGGCTTGTCTCTGGGAAAATGGACATGACACCGGATAAGGTGTCTTTGTTCAGTTGAAGCTAATTCAGTTGAAAGATAATTGCTCCTGAGAGAGTTTTGAGGCAATAAGTAGAAAACGGAGGCTACAGTCATAAAGGGAAAGGATCTGGGTGGTACACCCATTCACAATGTGGGACCAATAAGAGGGTAGTAACCACCCTTCTTCTGTTCAGATTGATTCTGATAACAGATGCTTCCATGTAAAATTCAAAAACAAGGAAGGAATTGTGTAGCTGAATTAGGGAAGGGGGATGTCCCTTTCTGAAATTCATGGCACAGTGACCTGACTGTGCAGGCAGCACCCTACAGTGGCTCTTCTTAGGTCAGTGTTCAGAGACCAATGAACAGCCAAGCTAAGAACGATATGAGTCAGGTGAGGCAGTCAAAACTTTCTTCCAAATCCAGGTATCTGAGCCAACAAAACAGAGACAGTTTTTATGTTCCATTTCATGGAAAATAAACTAATTCAACTATTTCAAGAAGAATATTTTGGTAAAGGCCATAATAGTTTCTTCCACAAGGGGAGGGACTCGTGGTTGCTGTCACAAAAGCCCATAGGCAGAATGACTTCTGAGCAGCAGAAAACTGATTCTCTTACTTCTGAGACTGCTGGGACCAAGGACAAAGTATTGGCTGTATCCAAGTTACAGGAAAGGCTGCTTTCTTGTTCACAACTGGTCATCTTTTGGTATACTGTCACATCATGGTAGGGTCAAATTAGCCTTGTAGCAGCTTTTATATGGCAACAATCCCATTCACAAGGGAGCTTCTCTCTTGCTGTAATGGACATGTTACCTAATACTGTTACTTTGGGAGTTTGGATTTCAATACATTAATCTGAAGAGAACATAAACATCCATCCATTGTCAGTGAAATGATAATTATAGCTGCAATTTTATTTTGCAGAATGCAGAGAAATTAAGGGACTCTAAGGAGGAGGATTGAATTTGGTATAATATTTAGTAACAAAGGAATTTTTTTTTTTATTTTTTTAATAATTTTTTTTATTAAGAAAAGAAGAAAAAAAAACATAAACAAAAAACAAGTTTCCACCTCCTCCCAGCCTCCCATTTCCCTCCCCCTCCTCCCACCCTTCTCCCCCTCCTCCCACCCTTCTACCCCTCCCCCCACTCCTCTCCCCCTCCCTCTCCAGTCCACAGAGCAGTCCAGGTTCCCTGCCCTGTGGTAAGTCCTAGGTCCTCCCCCCTCCGTCCATATCTAGGAAGGTGAACATCCAAACTGGCTAGGCTTCCACAAAGCCAGCACATTAAGTAGGATCAAAACCCCGTGCCATTGTCCTTGGCGTCTCATTAGCCCTCATTGTTCGCCATGTTCAGAGAGTCCGGTTTTATCCCATGCTTTTTCGGTCACAGTCCAGCTGGCCTTGGTGAGCTCCCAGTAGATCAGCTCCACTGTCTCAGTGGGTGGGTGCACGCCTCGTGGTCCCGACTTCATTGCTCATGTTCTCCCTCCTTCTGCTCCTCATTGGGACCTTGGGAGCTCAGTCCAGTGCTCCAGTGTGGGTCTCTGTCTCCATCCATCACCAGATGAAGGTTCTATGATGATATGCAAGATATTCGTCAGTATTGCTCTCGGATAGGGTCATTTCAGGTTCCCAATCCTCAGCTACCCAAGGAACTAACTGGGAACCTCATGTTGGGCACTTGGGAGCACCTCTAGGGTCAAATCTCTTGCTCACCCTAAAGTGGTTCCCTTAACTAAGAATTGTGGTTCCGTGCTCCCCTATCCACCTTTCCTTTATCCCAATTCTCCTGATTCCCTAAATCCCCCCTCCTTCCCTTCTACCTTTTCTCTCCCCATCTCCCCTTACCCCCATCCCACCCCACCCCCAAGATCCTAATTTTCTCCCCGGTGATTGGGTCTACTTCCCTTAGCCAAGAGGATACCCAAAAAGATGAACTTGGGATGTACTCGCTCATAATTGGTTTCTAGCCATAAATTAGGGCCACGGAGTCTACAATAGGTGAACCTAAAGAAGCTAAGTAAGAAGGTGAACCCAAGGTAACAAAGGAATTTTAAAGCATTGTATATTGCATAATTGAAGGGTTGATACCATTTTTACTTTTAAGGACCAGTAATAACATTTTATGCTATTTTGGGTCTTCTACCCTTTTTACTACTACTTGGCTCTCCTTTAGTGGCACTCAGTCAACCTTAGAGAAAATCTAAGGGAGGATGTCATCTCTCAGAATTTTCTGGAAATTTGGGTAGCTCCAACTTTTTAAAGGGTACTTCCTTTGTAAGTTAGTTGGGTAGCCTGAATTTGGAGACAGGTTGCCAACTTTTCTAACTCATTTTGGTCTACAAAAGTAAAACAAGATGGGCATTGGACAAGGTTCCTGAGCTTTCTCATCTTTAGAATACATAGCATTTCTTTGAGGGTGAGACAGATCAAAACAATTACAAAGCAATCACAAGGGTGCTAGCACTCATCATTTCTGTTGATGGAAAACCAAATTTGATTTATTTAACTTTAAAAGTTATTACTTAATGATAATTTGGAATAACCTACCATCCATTTTAATGTATATGATTCAGAGGTTGTCAGTTATTCACCATCTTGTGTAATAATCCTTAATATCTAATTCTAGAACATTCAATCACCTCAGTAAGAAACTAATTGCTTGATAGAGTTTACTGTCTATGTCCTACTATTCTCCATTCTTGGTAGCTGTTCATTTACTTGATGCCTCTACAGATTGACCCTTTCTGTTCACCAAAGAGAAAAGGAATTCTACAATATGTATAAATGGAGGTTTCTCTGTCCCACCCTGTTTTGCAGCCGCTTCTAAATAATTACTCAGAGGC